ATCACAAAGAGACTGATGCAGCTTTAGCATTATTAGGAAAAGAAGGAATATATGCCCTGAGCATATATTACTCCTGACTCCATTACAGCTTCCTTACCCCTCACTGGCTTGTTTCCAGAGGCCTGGGAGTCCCACTTTGTTTCTGTTTCTTTTCTCCTTAATGAACTTTTCATTATATCTAATTCTCTAAACAAATTTGCCTCTTTTCATTTGCTTGCCTGAGAGTCAGGGAAGTTTCTGCTGAAGCTTCATCAGACACCAGCCTGTGGTAGTCCAGTGGCTGGGACTCAGTACTGCCCCTGCAGCCAGGGATCAACTCCTGGCTGAGGAACTAGACCTGAAAACCTAAAAACCTGAAATTACAGTGACAGTTCAATGAAGGAGAAGAAGAACCAGTATAATGAAAAGCTGTAAAATACTCTTAAAAGAAATTGAAAACACAAATAAATGGAAAGATATTCTGTGCTCATGACTGGAATAATCTGCTGCATTGACAACACCACACTGACAAACAGGAGTCGTGGAGCAGGCTACACAATACAGGATGCTGTTCAACGAGCAAGATCCTGCCTTTTTTATTGATAGACTAATCATACAGCATCAGTTACATGGGGTAGAATTAAAAAATGGGTGAAACTGGAAATGTGCTTATGTCATCTAGGGCTTTAGAGGGACAAGCAAATAATTCTTATCTGCTTAGTGACCAAGTGTTATAATGGGAAACCTTACCCCAGACCCCTGGCCAAGGTTCCAATCTTATCAACAAGGCATTCCACTGATCAGCTTCTAGGGTCCATTGTTATATATCAGTCAATAGTCTCCCAGGAGTTCCTGGTCATACCTCATGATACATATCCTTCCCAGGGTGATCAAACTTTCTGCTCTTGATTGATTTGAAAGGCACCTTGTAAGGCTGGGCTCCTATAATTGATTGGGCAGTTCTGACCTTGTTTAGGAATGCAGAACTGCAGGTAACAAAAATGGTGGCTGAACAGGCTGCTTAGGATCAGCAGACCCACAATAATTATTTTTTTTTTTTTTAATTTTTTTTATTTATTTATTTTTTTTTTTAAATCTTTTTTTTTTTTTATAGAGGCATGTTTATTTATTTATTTATTTTGTTTGTTTGTTTTGTTTATACATGCACTGGGTACAGTCAGAAGCGCGGGAGGGTGAGAGAATTCACCAGAGCCAGAGCGGGGAGCAGAGCAGGCAGAAGGACCGAAGTACACTGCTGAGGGGAGCAGCGGGCGGCAGGAGAGGTCTGCGCGCCATGTGGGATTCTCCGCCGGTGGCCGGGGAGCAGCCGGGGATCGAACTGGCGCCGCAGAGGCCACGGGCAGCTTCGCAACCCAGCGCTCAACCGCTGCGCCACCGGGGAGGCCCCCACAATAATTATTGAAAGGTACAGACTGCCCAAAGCAAATACAGATCAATGTATACTAATGAAAATTCAGATGGCATTTTTCACAGAAACAGAACCATTCTGAAATGAACAAAGGACTGGGAAGAGCCAAAACAATCTTGAGAGTGAATCTGAAGGCATCTTGCTCTCTGACTTTGAACTGTTAATTGGACACAACATCTCAGTTAGAGCTTAATAGATAATTAAAGTCAGGATTGGAACCCAGGAAGCAGCCTGACAGATTTTATTCCAAAAAAACGAGTTTGAATTTAGTTTATATGCATAGGAAGAGTGAGTCATTGACATTAAGAATGTAATTATTCTGGATGGGAGAGTCTTCTATTCCAATTTGTCCTGACCTAATCATATGCTGATGCTGGAGGAAGGTGATGCCCATTTAACTTCTTCCTTTCTAAGAGTGTCCTGTGGGGATGGGAAGGCTGAGCACCCATTAATAAATCTTTATCTGCCTCCATGGTCAACAGTAGTGGTGAAAAGACTGGCTTCACCTTCAGGTGGCAGATGCCCTGGACAGTACAGAGTGGAGACTGTGGGAGATGGTTTTGCCCTCCTGACTGACTGCCAGACTTGGGGCTGGGAGGGAGGATGTCAGCCCCAGAAAATTTTACAATATGTTCCCCAGACTATATTATAAATGCACTGTAATAAAAGAGACAGATCAACAGGACAGAATGGAGAGCCCAGAAAATCCACACCAAGTGTCATCTATTTACCACAAAGGCATCAGGAGCAAAGAGCACAGAAGGATATGCTCTTTAGTCAGTACAGAGAGAACACCAAGGGTCATGCTCAGGACTGAACCCGGACCTATGTTCCTTCAGGCCCAGTAATGAACCCAAAAAAGGCCCCAGTTTTCTACATGCAGCCCTTCCTGCACTGGGTCCTCCCACTGGACCCCTTCGCAGTCAGTCACCCACAGGGAGATGTTCTCACCTTCCTCTCACCTTTGGCTCACCACCTCCTCTCCAGGCCCAAGGAGGTACCCAGATCAAAGTACTGGGTCCAAAAGAGACCATGTTCCCTGCCAGCACCAACTCCACCGCAAGTCCCCAAGAAGTCAACAGGCACCCAGGAGATGAGGAGCAGGCTGCTGACAGGTGCGGGTGGGCAGGGACACTCCCCCAACAAGCTCTTTGTGGCCACGCCCACCTGACAGTCCTGCTGCAGCATGACAGTTTGTAAATTCAAACTTAAAGGGAGGCAAATATCCTGCCTCTTTTCCAAAAATAATGTCAATGAAAATTCCAGGAAGCCACCTGAACGGCAAAACGGATCTACCTGGATTTAAAAACTTGCTCAGGGTTATTTAGCAGTGACCACAGATGGCTCGACAAACCCAGCCGCTGCCCAGTATAATGACAGAATGGGTGTGTGAATTTGCTCTTTGCTCTGCGCTTTGCTGCCACCCAAGGTCTTTACCTGCCTGGGTACTATTATTTTCCCCACTGTGCCGCATTGCCCATCCTTGCCACTAGGTGGCATGCCGTTTCTCTGAGCTTAGTCCCACCCCCACCCTACCCCCAACCCTCAATTATTCCTCTGCCCTTCATTCACCATTAGCCCTCTAATTGCTAGATCACATTTTGTATATGCCGGAATTTACTTAACCATTCCCTGGGGGTTTCATTTAGATTGTTTCCAATTATGTGTTACTATAAAGAAAGTGCTTGTGAATGTTTTCATACATCAAGATTTTATGTGTATTTCAAAACATTTCCTTAGGTCACTTCCCAAAAACAAAATGACTGCATCAAGCAGTATACATATTCTAAATTCACAGTTCTCTGCAGAAGGATGGTACAAATTTATTCTTTTCTCAGGAATGAATGAGTGTACATATTTCACCTCACCTCTGCCAACATCTCACTCTATCCTCCAAGGGTTTTGATGCTATTGTGCCAGTAGGCATGGGACAGGTTCTCTATGGATTCAGGCAGATGAATAAAGGAGAGTCCTGGAGCTCTTAGTGGCTTTTTCAGGCTTTAATGCTCTTTCTACAGCAATTGTTGTGGGGCAAGCCCACAGGCTGGCGAGGCAGGGAGGCCTGGGGGCCAGGAGGCTGGCAGGGCCCCCAACCCCCAGAAAATCTTTACTCTTTCTCTTTGGTCTCTCTCTGGCATTCTCTTATGGTCTCTCCCTCTCATAGCTGTTGCTTATCCTCTCATAGCCGCCCCTGACTCTGAGTGATGCCGCCCTTACAGCCTCAGCATCTAGGCTCAGGTGTGCACATTTACACACCCCCCAATCATATTCCATGTGTCCACCATGAGGCATGCGTACCCCACACCCCCCACAGAGGCCAATGGCATAAAAGTTTGACCATTTACCCTACAGATGCAAACTTTGCACTAGAATCAAGTATACAAAAAAATTTTATTATGTGTAAGAAATATTTAACTACTTTAGATACTCAAAAAAACTGTGTACTTGTTATAGAGGACCCAAGGCAATGAGAGTCAAAACCACCGCAAATTATTCCTTGTCCTGGTTTCTGCGAATGGGAAAAATTCATTTACAGTTTGCTGCCAGATAAATGAAAACAACAACAACAACAACAACAACAACAACAAAGTTTAAGAGGCCTCTAATTCTGTGAGGAATTAGGTAAAAAAATTAGGATCCTTATAAATATTATTGAATCAAAGCTCCTCGCCCTCAAGGAATCATTTGATTCCTTCGGTAACTGTGTTTGCACACATTAGCAATACCTGAGGATCTTTAAGAAAATCTCAGTCCCATGCCTCATCTTCAGGGACTTAATTGTCTCAGGAGCCCTGTAGTTTCTCAGGTGGCTCTAATAGATAGTCCAAGTAGGAATCCTAGTATACCCCATAGATGTGTGGGTCTGTAGTATTTCCTATGTCCGCTTGATTGCCACTAGGCAGCAAATTAGCTCAGGTCATACTCAGGAGCAAGATTGCTCTCTTACCTCAAAGTTGGAATGCTGTGTAGGCAGAAACCGGGAGCCCAGTGCCTGCATTTTACCCGTCAGTCTTGCTGACTTTTACTCAGCTCCTCCTGCATGACCACCACACGGTTATTCATGTTTGCAACTATCAATCACCTGCGGCTCTACAACTGAAACGCCCCCCACTTTTCTCTTCTTGTCCGTTCTGATCACTGTTCTATCTGCAGAACCTAGACTAGTGCCTGGTACATAGTAAACTCTCAAATGTCTGTTATGACCTAATAGTATTATCCACCCCTGCAATGATAGTTCTAGGTGTTATAGTAACATTCCCATGTAACTGAATGCACGGAAATGCCTGTTTCTGCCTATATAAACCTAGATTGGGTGTGCAGCTGCACGAGATACACGTCACGCCCGGCACCTCCACTCAGCCCAACCCTGTTAGGCCGAAGACCTGCCCTAATAAGGCAGTGCCCGGAACGGGCTCGGCTCACTTTCGCTCCCCAGCAAGGACAGAACCTCGGCGCGTCAAGCCCCACGCATGCGCACACCCCCCCCCCCCCCCCCCGTCCAGGCGCACTTCCTCCTCGGCTCCACCCATCACCGGGGGCGGGGCGAGGCCGGGCGGGCGAAGCCGGCGGTGGCTGCGCGCGTGCGTGGAAGAGCGCGGAGGGGCGGGGGCGCGGCGGTCGGCCGGGCGTGAGCGATCGGAGTCGAGATGCAGGTGAGCGGGGCCGGGGGCGCCAGGCCTAGCGGTAGCGACCGACCGAGTGCCCCTTGGGGTCCGCGCGGCGGCAGTGTCCGCCCGGCCTGCGGGAGCGCCGGGCGCCGCGGGCTCTGGGAAAGCCTCGCGAGCCGGAGCCGGCGCAGGCGCACGGTGGGAGGGCGGCTCTGGCCCCGGGACCCGCGCGGGGGCCTCCCGCGCCTGTGTGCCGCACCCCTCGAATGTCTGTCTGCCTGCCTTTTGGGGCTACCAGCCCTTGAGAACCCCCCGCTTTCCCCAGGGGGATTGTGAAGGACTCACTGGATTCCACCTGGCAAAATTACTACGTATTAACTTTTTTTTTAAAAAAAAAAGATTTATTTATGCATACAAGAGCTGGGGTACAGGCCAGAGATGCGGGGGTGAGAGGATCCACCAGAGACAGAGTGGGGAGCAGAACAGGCAGATTGACTGAAATACACTGCTGAGGGGAGCAGCGGACAAGACAGGAGAGGTCTGCTGCGCCGTGTGGGTAGCCCCCTGGCTGGCCGGGGATCGAACTTGTGCTGCAAAGGCTGCAGATTGCTTCATAGTGCGGTGCCCAACCCCTTGCGCCACCAGGGAGGCCCTACTACGTATTAACTTCTAATAAGCACCTGAGTGGGTGTCTTATGAGTTATTGATCCATTCTGTGGAAGCTAAGGCTTGGAGAAGTGCAGGGTCCCGCAACATAAGAACAATGGGGAGACCGTGTTTCCTCACCTAATAGAAGGTGAGTGAGAGGTTAGTTACACTCTAATGCCGGTCAGGTTGAGGTCTCTCCGGCTCTGACTCAAGGCTTCCAGTACTCTCCGTAAGATTAGGCTCCTCTTTGCTTATTCCTTTCTTGGATAAAGCCAAATCTAGCTTCGTCCATTTCTTGTTCCTGGAACTTGCTAATGAAATTAGACGAAAGGTGAGAGGAAATGAATGGAAATGGGCACTTTTATGAGCAGAAATCTTTGACCACTGCTTTTTGTTACTGTCCAAGTGTTACAGGGCAGCCCCGATATAAAACAGGTTGCCTGACTGTGGGTCCTCACCCGCGCTTAAAAAGAACTTATTAATACCCTACTGCAGGCACACACAAAAGCTTAATAAAAGGTTTATTTACAAGGGAAGGGGAAATGAGGAAAAGTACAACTCAGGGAGAAAAGAGGGAAATAAAGTCTTAAATGCGTCCTACCCTTTCCGCTGCCCTGGAATCCCAGTGGCACTCTGAGAGCTGGCTGCAAGCCACAAGCAGTGAAGCCAAGAGGGGAAGAGAGAGAGACCCCCAAGGCCGGCATCTGGTTTTTATACCAAACCTGGCTGCTTAACTCCACCCCCAGGTCCCAGCCACCTTCCCTTTGGTGGTGATGGGATTTGTCTTTCCCAATGTCTTGATGGCTTTGGTCTGGAGTGGGGGTGGAGTCCACAAAGCCTGCATGGAATTAGCTCAGAACATCCTTTCCCCCTCCATAAGGACCCTGCTCCAAGAGTTATTTTACTGCCTTCCAGACATTGCTATAGTCAGGAATTCTGATTAAATCCTCTGACTCAGTGGCAGATTAGAAATGTTGCTAGTATAGGTCTGGTTGGGGTGGAAAGCACCGGGAGCTGGAAAAGACTATCATTACATATACGGTATGTCTACCACAAACCATACACTCTTATGTGGTGAAGAGGAGGCTGTCCTCTGCATTCTCTTTCTTTCAATTCCCTGATTAAAAATGTCAACCTTTTCGGGTGTCAACTCTGACAACCTGGTGGAAATGAGTCTGTTCGTTTTGTTTTGTTTCGTTTTTTGTAACTTGCTATAATATATCAGCAAGACCATGACACAGCTGGGGCCGCCCTTTCCTAGTGTGCCTTGATTTCTATTCCAAAGAGGTCTGAGCTCCATTACCGTGAGGGTGAACTAGCTACATATGGGTTAAAGACTTAGGAGAATGCTCACTACCTAGCATGCTCAGTAAATGAGCTATTCCACAGGGTGTCAGTTCTTCCTCTCAGGTTGGCCATTAGAGAATTTGGGTAGCTCATCATCAGGTTCTGTACCCTCTCTGATTCTACTGCAGTCATTCAGCTGTGAGATTGTATCTCCTCCTGGCCTTCAATCCTTAGCATATGCTGTCTCTTTGTCTAAAAGTTATTTCCGAAGTTCTTACTCCATGTGACTGGTTTCTTCCCACCCTCCAGGAATGAATAAATGCCACCTCTTCTGGCAATAATCCCACTGCCTACCTGTAACTATATAGGTGCCTCTTCTCACCAACTCTCTCCCTCTGCAGGGCAGCAGCCTTCTGCCTGCCCATGACCTGTCAAGGCTGCCCCCCTTGCAACCATGCAGGCCTCTCTTAGCAAACCTGTACCTTCTGAGGCAGCTCTTCCTGCCCCCTTATGTCTATGCAAGTGTCTTTACTCTTCTGTCCCTTGCCCTAATAAACCTGCCCTTTAAATATTAAATAAATAAATAAATAAATGCCACCTCTTCTGAGAGAACATCCCTGCTCACCCTGTAGAATGCAGACCGCTATAACACTCTAGGTATGTCATCTGTTGGTCACTGCACTTGCTGCGGTTTGTAATACACTGTGTATATGTTTGTGTGTTTACTGGCTCATTGCCTGTCTCTTCCTCTTGACAGTAATGTGGATGCCCCTTCCATTTGTCATGCTTGCCTACCATCTAATATGAAAGTTTAAAATAGGTACTTAATAAATATCTGTTAATTGAATTACTCCAAATTATCAAAACTATTAAACCGAAACCAGGTCATAGCCTGTTGTAAGCATCGATGCTGATCTGTGCAACCTGTATTCTGTTATATTCTATTCTATTATGTTCTGATTTTTACCTTAAAACTAGCTCCCCAGGGGGCCTCTCTGGTGCACAAGGGGTTAAGTCTAAGCCTATCAAGCTAGCTACCGGCAGCCACTGCAGCACTAGTTCAATTCCCGGCCAGGGAGCTAACCCACATGGCTCAGCCGACCTCTCCTGTGTTGCCCGCTGCTCCCCTTAGCAGTGTATTTCAGTAAATCTACCTGTTCTGCTCCACATTCTGTCTCTGATGAATCCTCTCACCTCCCCCCCACTCCCACCCACACACACACACCTGTGGCCTACACCCCAGCTCTTGTATGCATAAATAAAATAAATCTTAAAAAAAAAAACTAGCTCCTCATAAGGGGATTGCAGGAACAGAGGCTATGATCATTTGACACTTTATTAGAAATGGGCCACAGCATAATTTGACTTGCATTCCTCTCTTCCCATCACCTTTTCTGTTTGGCCTCTTACCCTTATGGTTCGTCTTTTCTAGGACCCCAATGCAGACACCGAGTGGAATGACATCTTACGCAAAAAGGGCATCCTGCCCTCAAAGGATAATTTGAAAGAATTGGAAAAGGAGGCAGAAGAGGAGGAACAGCGAGTCCTTCAGCAATCAGTTGGTGAGCTTGCATGTATTCTTCATTCTGTGTATATAATATAAAAAACACCTTCAAGCCTATATCTACTGCAATAGAAAGACACTCTGAGCAAGGGTCGATAACTGAGGATTGGAGTGTTGGAGTGGTCCTGTCTGAGGGACTGCAAGCAAGTCAGGATATCTCTGTCTTCAACTTACATAGAAGTAGGGGCATTTCAGAGGGTTCCTTCATTTCCACAATTTTTTGTCTTTGTCAGAGGAGCATGTGATAATCCTGAAGAAATCTGAGTCTTGACTTTCTGGTCTGTGATTCACTTTGGATAATGTCATGGAAATTTGTTCAGCATTTTTAGTATTTTATTCTCCTGAGCTTATACTTTATTATTTTTGGGTTTGATGGAGAATATTTAAATGGCTTAATATGGGGTAGCATAAGATGTTTGAATTTGTGGGGCCCGAGAAAGGTTTTCATAAAAGTATATGTACCACCTCAAGTGAAATCCCTGGATGATCTGTAAGAAAACCAGTGGCTTCTGAATCAGAATCTTGGGCAGAAAGCTGCATTTTTTTTCTTACACATTAAAGGGACAAGTTTATTAGGAAAAAGAGAAAAAAAAAAGAAAGGCATCTCCATGGTCATAGGTGGGCAGGAGAGCTGCCCAGAAATCTGCATTTTAAACACGTCTCAAAAGATTTGATCCATGCCAAAGTTTTGAATCATTAATTATAGGGTCTAGTACTTTTGTTCCCTGTTTACATGTTAGAGCTAATTTAGAGGAGGCTTTATTGCAAAGCATTTTCCCAGCAAATGTTTATTCAATGATTAATGTGTGTGAAGTACAGTTCTAAGAAGTGGGATTTAGCTGTTCATTGGCCAGACAAAAATCCCTGTCTTCACATAACTTGAATTCTACTGGGAAAGAGAAAGAATAAGCAATACAAAAGTGAAATATAGGAATATAAGGCAGGAAAGGTCTTCAAAAAGCTTGGAGGCTGGTGAGTATTAATTCTAGATAGGGCCAGAGAGCCTCACTGTGATGACATTTGAATTGACCTGAGGAAGGTAAACTGAGCTACTTTATCAAGTGAAAAGCACTTTGGAGAATCTGATGCTGTATCCCTGGGGGAAGGTAGTAGAAAGTTCACAGGCGACTAAGAGCCAAACCATTTAAGACCTTGTATTGATAGCTAGCTTTTATGCCTAATGAGGTGGAGGTCATTGGAGGTTTAAGCACAGGAGTGACATGTCCTGTCAATGGCACCATTCAGTTGTTGCCTTACTGAGCAAGGACTGTGGGGGACAAGGCAGGAAGCAGAGAGACCACTCTGGAAGCTCGAGTAATTCAGGCACAAGATACCGTTGGTTCTGACCAGCATGGTGGTAGTGGAGGAGGTGGTGGCCAGATCTGCCTGTGACTCATGAGAAAAGACTAAGAAGTAGAATGATAATTGCCTTCCCACAGGGGAAGGCTGTGCTAGGGGAGCCTAGCTCTAGGAGAGCCAACTGCTCTCCTTCGTCTCCTGAGAACTGTGGTGTGGATGTGCTTGCAGATCAGACAAGGGATTTCGGGCATCTACAGCTGTTGTTTTATAAACTTGAGAAACTTTGATTCATTTCCTTATTTCTGTGTGGCAATAAGATATTTTGCAGATATCAACAATTTTATCTTTTAAAAACACTATTTACTAGCATAATATTAATACTTTAAAAACTTTTTTTAATGGAAGCTGGGAGTCTTCTGCTCCTGCTTTGTACAGAAAGGAAAATAGCAAAATGCCCATTTGTTCATCTTGGAAACTTTTTGTCTTTTGCCAATTTAACTTAATTCAGTGAAAACATACGAAGATATGACTTTGGAAGAACTAGAGGAAAATGAAGATGAATTTAATGAGGAGGATGAGCGTGCTATTGAAATGTACAGGTTAGTGCAACCAAGAGGAGCTGTTGGTTTTATGTGTGTCCTTTGAAAAGTTAATTTTCCAATTAAGGTAACATTTGAAAGGACTATAATGAAATAATTATATAGCATGAACCAGACTTAGACTTTTGCCTTGAAGCAAATAAATGTGCACCTTTACAAAAGTTGCTTTTTGAAAGTGTGTGTGTGTGTGTGTGTGTGTGTGTGTTTAATACAACTCTCTCTTTCTGTTGTATAGGCAGCAGAGATTGGCTGAGTGGAAAGCAACTAAACTGAAGAATAAATTTGGAGAAGTTCTAGAAATCTCAGGAAAGGATTATGTTCAAGAAGTTACTAAAGCTGGTCAGGGCTTGTGGGTAATCTTGCACCTTTACAAACAAGGGTGAGTTGATTTTATGTACTCTTTACAATGTTATTTTGATTTTATGTCTTGAACATCAGTGGCTTAATCCACATTGGAGGGCTTTATTTTTAACTAGTGTTTTACGTGTTTTTGTTACTTATCTGCCCAAACCTTAGTGTCTGATTTTTGTCTTAAGACTTTTAAAGTAGTATTTGTGACAAATGCAAATAATTTTATTAAAATGTAGTAGTGAAGAGTTTGCCTTTACTGAAAAGGAAATCCTAAGTTACTTATACTTTTTGAGGAACTTTGGCTTTTCAAAATTCCATGTCATCACTTGTGGACAGTGAGGATGACCTTAATGATAATTGTCTGTGTCAGGTCAAGCACTGGTCTACCCTATTTCTTGCCTCCAGTCTTGTGCTTAGCCTGGGAAGTCCAGTGCTGGTGTAGGAGTTTCCTTAAAGCAGGAAATGCTTTCTGACCTGTTACTCACATTGTAAATATTGAATGTTCTCTCAGTCTTACAGAAGGACATAATGATTACCTTTTACATTGAAGTTGTTTTTCTGGCAGATTGTTGGGTTAAATAAAATTGAACTTTGCATTTTGAGCGTTTTTTTAAACTTTTATTTTCTATTTTTTTGAGTAGATGAACTGGGGTGTAGGCCAGATGTGCAGAGGGTGAGGGAAATCACCAGAGACAGAGTGGGGAGCAGAACAGGTGGATCTACTGATACACTGCTAAGGGGAGCAGTGGACGAGACTGAAGAGGTCTGCTATGCCATATGTGGGTCAGCTCCCTGGCAGGGCATTGAACTCAGACCCTAGTGGTGATAACACCGAGATTTACTTGCTAGAGCACCAGGGAGGCCCATGGATTTTGAGTTCTTAACTCATCCTGAACATATTAGAAAGTTTGTGAAAAATATCAAATTCATCTTGACTGGAGTAGCAGAATCACTTGTGAAGTCTTATTAATGAGATTTCACATAGGGCAGAAGGGTAGTTTATCTTTGTCCTTTATAAATACATAATTGTAATTGCTTCTATTTCTCGTCTCTTCTCACAATTGTCTATTTTACAGGATTCCCCTCTGTGCTCTGATAAATCAACACTTCAATGAACTTGCCAGGAAATTTCCTAATGTCAAATTTATCAAAGCCATTTCAACAACATGCATACCCAATTACCCTGATCGGAATCTGCCCACGATATTTGTTTACCTTGAAGGTGAAATTAAGGCTCAGTTTATTGGACCTCTAGTGTTTGGTGGCATGAGCCTGACAAGAGATGGTAAGTCCTCTTCGAGGTGGTCTAGACTTGAGAAGTGGCAAGGGGATATTTCTGTTACAGTGCATGTTGATGATTTTTTTAATTTCCCTTTGCTTCTATGTCAGTGGTTGTTAAAAAAGAAGAAAGACAGTTACAAATGGGTGCTAATCATTCTCAGTAAAAGAGGGTACAATTAACTGTAAAATATACATATTTAGTATCGATCGCTGATATGCTTTGTCTCTACAATTGAATTTGTTTTTTAAAGTTATACCTCAAGATCACATCATTTATTTTTTATGTAACTCACATGAACATTAATGACAGATGCTTTGTGTGTGTGTGTGTGTGTGTGTGTGTGTGTGTGCGTGTGTATACAGCACTTTTAAATTAATAGGACTGAAGTAAAATTAGTTATCAGAGCAGAGCATCACTGCATTGATCTACTTTTAAACCAGATTATTTGCTGTAGACTCTCTCAGGGTGTCCCTTACTTCTGCCTGGGATCATTTCTGCAGTGGAAGAATGTATCCCTTGAATTTGCATCACAAGGTATCATACCTTGTGGCATTTCAGTGATTATAAAACAGTGAAATATAGGAATGAAGCTTTTAATCACTGATTATTTTCTTTCTAGTATTTCTTCTCTCTTTTTTTCAATTTTGTGGAACAAATTTATCAGTTCCAGAATGTCACACATTTTTCCTTTAACTTTACTACATTGAGGTGCTGAACATGAGAATTCGGAATTCTCTTTTATTAGCTAAATTATAGTCAATGATTAAGTTGCCTGCAGGCCTTCAAAGACTCTATCCATTAAATGTTTCCTGCTAATTTCATTCCTGGGATTGTCCAAACTATTATCATAGTCATAAGACGATACGTTTAGTCTTTGTTTTTTATTTTGGTCACTATATAGGTTTGGATTTCTGTAATATCTCATTTGGTCGCACCTTCTGGAAAAGTGTTTGAAAATATTTTTGTTTTCCTTCTTAAATGTCTGATTACCCCTCCTCCTTCTAGGTACCTTATAATTATGGCGCTAAAATTATAAATTGTCATTAAATATTGTTTCTACTTAGAAAAAAAACTGAACGGGCTTGAGAGTGAGGGGAATCTATGTAGCTTGTCTTAGGTGACTTACTTTTTCTTTATCACGTAGAGTTGGAATGGAAATTGTCTGAGTCTGGAGCAATCAAGACAGACCTGGAGGAAAACCCTAAAAGACCAATCGAAGACAAGTTGCTGTCCTCGGTGCGGGGCTCAGTGCCCATGAGGAGTGGCAGTGACTCTGAGGACGATTAAGGCTGCAGCTAGGGTAAAGTGTCCAACCTTCTTGATGTGACGGGTCATCTGGATTTTTTAAAAAAAGGGAAAATATAGGTTCAAATCCTTCGGTGTTAGCCTTTTTAGTTAAGACTTGAATCTCAGACCTCAGAAGTAATCATTGCCTGGAATCCTATCAAATTTCTTGGAACTCTTTTAAAATTAAGAACATTTCCTTAAAAAAAAAAAAAGGAAACAGCTATTGTTTTGGCAAATTTCTGTTTTCCTCATTTATATTTTAAGTAAACCATAAAACTATTTACTATTTGTTGACCTATGACAATGTAAAGGAATATGTAGTTTTTTTATAATATGAATAAATTATACAGTAGAAAAACTTGCAAACTAAACTTTACAGTAACGTTACTGTTCATTTTTATTCTTTTATAAAGATTGCAACATTAATATTGACTCAAATAATGGAATGATCTATCGGAAAAAATCTTGGTATTTATCCTATTTCTAAAAATTAGGAAATTTTTATGGAAAAAAATATTTGTCTTATCAAAGCAATAACTGGAAGATCCAGTGAACTGCCATTTCATGGTGACTGTTTTTCCATTTAAAATAACTTTTTGTCTCAGACCATGGGCATGTCAACTAATCTCAGTTACTTAAATTCTTTTTTAGACATAAACAGATACACGTACAACATAAATAGTCTCAATTAATTTAAAAAAAGCATATTAAGATGTTTTCTTAACCTCTTAGCATTTGGTACTTGTAAAATTAATACTGGTTTGAATCATAAAATTATAAATCAGACCAGGCACAGAATTCCTCCAGATTGCATTGTAAAGTACATTTTTGCTATAATTCAAAGAATAACAAGAAGCTGTGACCCATTTTATCTGTGAGCAGTATCTGTGTTAGTGACTATTTAGTTTTCTACACACACGAGAACCACCACTGTTGAGAAAAACATTCTCTGTTGGTTTACCTTGAAGGCTTTAATTGCAGGTTTGAAACAGCTTGGACAGTTCTCTCACTCTCACTGGGCTTTGTGGGAGAGCTGACCTCTTGGATTTTCTTTTGATAGCTGACATTAAAGTGAAATGTGTGGGAAGAACAAAGGTGAAAAAGTTGATTGCTGTACTCTCCTGAGAGCCGCATTGTATACAGCTCCCCAGAAAGAGGGAGAGCTGTGAATGTGTGGGCACCAGCAGCCATGGCCATGAAGAACACCGGTTCTCTTCCACTGGGAAGCCCATGCAGGATGCTATTCTGAACATTCACTAGACCACTTAGAAATGTGTAAGTGAGATAACTGCCTCACATTCTTGCCTCCACACCAGACTAAGCCACTTCATTTGAGCCCAGCAAAAGTAAGGTGCCTGTGGACTGGATGAACGAGCCTGTCTGTCCACTCTTGGCTCTCGGCAGCTGTTTAGTTTTGCTGACTGGACTTGATTTAAAATGATGGAGAAAAGCATCGCTATTCTAAAATTAATATTGTCATTTAGAACCTGACCTACAAATTTCTGCAGGTTAGTTAATTCTGGGATACTTGCCTATAATATTTGACATTATCTTCTTGCTGTTTCCTTTGGAGCGACAGTGATGTGCCAGAGGCCAGAGGACTTGGGACACATATAGTAAGCGTTTATAATTCCACAGCAGAAACACATAGTGACCAGGGGAAACTAGACCAGAAGGATACCAAGACCTGTCATGTGTTGTTGGAGGGAAAGTGATGGGGAAGGGTGTTTATGCAAGTGCTGGGAGGCCCTTTCTTAAGTGATTAGTGAGAAATGGTTCTAGAAAGTTGTAATATTAAATGATTGGGAGGACTAAAACTTTGTAATTCAATATGATTGAGCCCTCTCTATTTTGTACTTAGGTTGTATATCTTACCTTATTACAAATCTAAACCAAGTTGGCAAACCATGGCTTAGTCAGAGTCCCAACACAGGGCAGCCTCCTCGGGTCAGTACTTCATAAAAGTTCCACTGGGCACAAAAGGCACTTTTTCAGACAAGAAAAGACTGTTTAGAAAGATGTTCTCTGCTACTAGTGCTACATTTTTTTTTTGGCCAGTTTTTATCTGGCTTTAAATTCAATTTTGTTATGTAATCAATCCAAATTTTAACAAAGTGCTTCTCAAGTGTGATAACCCAAATGTGTTGTGACTGTGTTGCTTACTATAGAAACCTGTTCCTTTGAAAGCAATTTTGTCCTGTTTATGAAAGCCAGTTGTTAGTCATAAATATAAGCCTTTTTGACATGTGTCTTGATACTGTTTGCATTTACAGAGCATATGGTCACAATTTCACCCTGTGCACACTGCCCCCTAGCAACCTTCACAAGAAACCTTGTCATTTGCTTGCTACCAGGAATCTCGTGGTCCAGTCTCACCACCTTGGAACCTGCACAGTAGCCTCACCTTCTCTTTCTGTTTCTTTAAGCCTCCAGTGAAGATGTCTACTCCAGTTTTAAACCCTGCTGTGCTTTTGACCCTCTCCTCTCCCACATTCTTTAGGATTTTTGTTCCAGTAAATTATCGTCTTGATTTCAGTCTCTCTCTCTCTTGTGAGGTCTCAGGCACTAAAAGTGTTTAGGTCTTGTGACAGAGACTGCTGTTTGCTTACCTAGTGTTCAGGATTCTGCAATTCTACTCTAGCAGTTGTGGGACCAGCTAAAAGATAAAATTTCTGACTTCTGAGCTCACCAGAGGGAGAGGTGGGCAGAAGTTGACTGGTAGTTTAAGAACAGCTTTCTTAAAAACAACAAATCAGTATGTACTCTTTTTGAGCTTAACCTCCTCCTGCTTCCTGCTAAAATGTATATATGATCGCAGCCTACATAGGCCACAGGGCATCTTAATAGAGACTAAAAGTAAGGATAATCCTGAAGGCATAGAACCTCTGTAATTGACCTGCCCCCTCTGGACTTGTGTTTTGCGAAAGAATTAACTTCCACCTTGGTCTCTTTTAGTAACAGCAGATGCATTTCTTACTGAAGTCACAAGCTCATCACTAGAGGAATCAGCTTCAACCCCACTTTCTCCCCACTTTGAAATTGCTCAATAAAAGAGCATTTATATTCCTTGTCCCCTGCTGCTACTTCATTTTCATTGCCTTTCAATTACTTTATGAAAGGACTTAAGGACTTCTATTTCCATTGTGTGAAGAACTACATACTTTAAACAACTCACCTGATAATAACTCAAAATGTTGGGTAAAATTTTTATAATAAGGGATTTCTTTCAAATGACTGGAATCCCAAAGGACTGTCTTTAGTATTAGGGTGAGTTGGTACTACTTAGACACAGTCATCTATAAAGCCTTCCCTCCTGTGTGTTTGCAGTTTGAATTCTCCTGGTGTATGTGGTCTAAGTTCTGAAAGAATGAAGTTCTTAAAGAGGCCCTAAATTGTTAATGCCTAGAAGCTCATGACCAAAGCAATTTTGTAGAATAACACAGTAGAATAATACAGCTTTAATATGACCCTCAAACACTCATGTCCTAAGTTCGGAAATCACAGGATGCCTTAGGTAATGAATCCTGAACAAAACTGAGCAGAAGGTATTACAATCAGACCTGCAAAGACAGTATATTGAATTTTCAGGCAGAATATAAGATGAATCCATTTAAGATGTTTCAATAAAAGAGTAATGAATTCCTGATATAAAAATAAATCTTTTACATAAAGAAGGTTTGAAAAAGAATTAGTGAACTGAAAAGTAGAGTCAGATAATTGCCAAGTCTGTAGCACGTACAGAAAAAAGGTGGGAATATAAAAGTTAGCTTAAGAGATGTGAGGAAAGACTGATAAGGTCTAACATACCTCTTAGAGTGTTAGAAGGACAATGCTGGAAACACTTGAAAGTACTATATGTTGAAATTTTGGAAAAAAGATTTCTAGAATTGATGAAAGACACCCTCAGATTTAAAAAGCTATATAAATTCCGAATAAGTTCAATAAATCCATACCTCCGTACACAGGGTGAAACTGCAAAATATCAGATATTTATAAAAGATATCAGATATTTATTTATCAGACATTTAAAAAGTTAGATTTCCTACAGCACAGTAACAGTAAGGCTTATTGACTTCTTAACAGCAACAATGAAAGTCAGAAAACAAATAATATCAGTGGACTAAGAAAAAACAACAAAACTATGAGCCAAGAATTGTTAGTAACCAGCAAAGCTCTATTTTAGGAATGAGGATGAAATAGACACTTCAGACAGAATGAGTAAGTTTGTCATTAGCAGACTCACTAGAGGAAACTTAAGAGGATTTTGCTTTGTGCAGAAGGACAATGAACTGATAAAAGGTTTATCAGCTGAAGGAGTTTGAAATAAGGTCTGAAAACATGTTGACCAAAAATAAGATGGGTATATCTGAACAAACGTTGACTTGACAAAATATTACAAGTAATGTCTTTCTCACATTAAGAGCGAAACAGAGCTAAATAAACAGGACAATGCAGCATAGAACAAGCAGCAATTGAAGAAGTAGTCAGGATTCTCTAATTCCTAGATTCTTACAAGTGTTCAAAAGGTTAGCAAAGATGTGCACGTTAAAGGTGAGTTTATTCATGGTGACAGTAAAAGGGAAAAAAGTGGGGGTGGATGGCTCAGTTAATTCAACAGAAGACCAGAAGGAAGAGTAAAAAGAAAGAAGACCCATAGAAAGTCTAAAATAAGTTGTTAGAAATAAACTTAAAACAATAGTGACAATAAATGTAAGTGAATAGTACTCTTAATGGTTGTACCATATGTTCTGGCAATCATACTCCCAGTTGTTTGTCCAACTGATTTGAAACTACGTTTACACAAAAACCTACTCACAAACAACAGCAACTTATAATTGACAACGACAAAATTAAAATAGCAGTTGATGAATGGATACACTAGTACAGTGACACAATTGTATGTTATTTCAGCAATAAAAATGAGCTATTCACAAAAAAACATGGATGCGAAGTGAAATAAGCTTGTCTAAAAAGACTATTGTTCTACTTATGTAACATTCTGGATAAGGCAAAACTGGGTATACTAAAAAATCAGTGGTTACTCAGCGGTTCAGGAGCTTGAGAGAATTGAAAAGGAAAAACTTACAGGATTTTGGGGACTGGAAGTGTTCTGAATGATACAGTAGTGGTGGAGGTATAACATGCATTTTTTTAAAACATAGAATTTTACACCAGAGAGAATGAACTTCATGTGTGCAAATGTAAGAAAGTTGAGGAGTTGGGGTACCTGGATCAAATACAGGATGTGACAAAATAATGTTATAAATGTGTGAAAAAACCTCACAGAAGGGGGTAGGGTAAAGGTGCTGATATGAGTTACTTTGGAATTGAGTAGAGTCTACAAGATGAAAGGCAGAAGAAACTACATGAGCCCAGTGCTCTAGCTGATGAGGTTTTCTCACAGCGGTACAGGTTAGCAATTCTGATAACTGCGGATTGAACCATTAATCCTGATACCAGGATTGAACGATTAAATAACTGGATGGCAGGTGGTGGGAACCAGGTTTCTCGCTGTTGGTTGTGAGATTGGAGCAACAGGAGGAGGTTGGAATGATCTATGTGCTAATGGATTGTATGAACTCATGTTTAGTTTAATGTAGATACGGAGGGTTATTATATATTTAGTGTACAGACACAGGTTAAGTGAACATTTCTTTGCTCAGTTGAGGGAGTTTAAAATAAGCAATGACACCCAAGAGCAAAAACCACACCTCTCACTCAGATGTTTGTTTCTAATACCATCCTCCAAAAGAGGAAGCAGAGCCCTCTAGAGAAAGTTAATTCTTGAAACAAGAATAGTGAATAGACAAGATTAACCTGGGTCATCTTGTGCCATAAAGAAGTGCTCAAGGGGCCTACAGGTTATGTCTAAGCACTGTCACCGCTACCGCCTGAGTTCCATCCCAGCCAGGGAGCTAACCCACATATGGCACAACAGATCTCTCCTATCTCGCCCGCTGCTCCCCTCAACAACATATTTCAGTAAATCTGCCTGGTCTGCTCCCCACTCTGTCTCAGGTGAATCCTTAAATACACCACCCCCCGCCACACCTCTGGCCTACACCCCAGTTCTACACAAAAGTTTAAAAACAAAGTGCTCAAAACTAAAACCTTAAAGATAGGAATATGTCAAAAGGATACAGGAATCCAACTGAAAGATCGCCTAGTGGCTAAAACTGGAACAATTTGAGCAACAAAATAAATATTGGATTATAACCCAAAGCATAACATAAATGTCCATGAGCCCATAAATGATTGAATAGACAAGTGGAGGAGAAGAGACTATCTCCCATGGGGAATTATAATTTATATAAGATGCTCTGCACTTCAGATATTCCACTCCCATTATGGTTTGCACAGAGTATCTTCCTTCCAAAGTGTGGAAAGGGGGAGAAAGAGTTATTTTACTGTTTAGAAACCTGTCAAACACTATCCCAACCAGGTGATCAAGGTCCAAATCAAGTGATAAATCATATTGTTGATAAGGTCCCTGAATGTGATGTGATGAAAATGACACAAGGTAAGCTCTTTAGTTGTCCTCCCCCAAAATCCATAGTTATGCACAAGCATATAACAAATCTCAATTGAGGGACAATCTACAAAGTAGCCAGAACTACTCCAAATTTGTCATCAAAAACAAGGAAAAAACCGAGAAATTGGCACTCAAGCTGTGCCTAAGGAGACATGACTACTATGTAATATGGTGTCCTGGATGGGGTTTGAGAGTGGAAAAAAGAACACTAAAGGAAAATGAAGGAATTCTGAATAAAGTATACACTTTATTATGTTAGCAATACTGATTTATTAATTGTGATAAATGTACCATACTAATGGAAGATGTAATTACAGAGGAAACTGGGTGAAAGGTATATGGTTACTATCTTCTTAATTTTTTTGTAAATCTAAAACTATAATAAATGAAATTTATTTTTAAAATACATTGTTTTTTTTAATCACATCAAAATGGAAATTGTCATTAAGAAAGCTCAGTTCTTGGTTGTCATATGTTCGTAGAAAAGAGCAAGAATTAAAGAGTGTAAGTCTGAGTTTGGGTCTACCCAATACAGAGCCTGAGTGGTGGGCTTGAGTGTAGAGTGAGAGAGGACCCCAAGGAGTAGGAGAAAGGAAGCTGGAATAGGGAAACTGCGAAGAGAAAAGGTCAGTACAGGGGTGGGAATATAGTTAGTGTTGTCAACAGTGGGAACCCAATGCCTTTGAGACTCTAAGGACACAGAGGAGTCCATCCGCAGGGGACCCTGAGTTGTTTATCATCCAGTCCTGGCCCCCAATGTTTGATGGCTGCTCTCAGTGGGGTTAAATCCCTTGCACTTCAGGGTTGTATTTTCACAAGGACTGAACAAGTGTCTCTGCCTTGGAGAAGGACTTGGGCGCACAGACCAGATGTGCCTTTTTGATGGAAGACTGATGGTATAAGGTGAGTCTGAACTTGCATATTTAGTGTACTTGCATGGACATTAGTTCTGTTTTACACATTTGAAAAAATTTAGACATACTCAAATTTTTGAACCACTTTTGTGTATACACAAAAAGGAAAAGAGAAGCAAAATAAGTTGGTTCAGGTATTTGTAAAATGTTCTTCCAACAGGAGTCCTGCTATGACACTTTGTTCTGTGTTTTAAAGCTGGCACAAATAAATAAACAAACAAACAAACAAACAAATAAATAAATAAATAAAGCTGACACTTCCTTGATCCTACCAGAAGGTGGCAGTAATAACAATGCGATCACCAGCGTCACTTGGACAGTAGCTACACAAGAGATGCCAGGAATTCAGAAGTAAAAGAGGGGGAAATGTGCTGGAATTGATGAATGAGGTACTTATATCCCATTGTGGATGAAGCTACATTACGTTATTTTAACTTTACCTTTCTAGCTTTTAATTCTTTTTTTTTTTAATTTATTTATGCATACAAGAACTGGGGTACAAGCCAGAGGTGTGGGGAGTGAGAGGATTCACCGGAGACAGAGTGAGGAACAGAATAGCCAGATCCACTGAAATACACTGCCAAGGGGAGCTGCAGGCGAGACAGGAGAGGTCTGCTGCACCATGTGGGAAGCATCCTGGCCCAGGATGAATCCACAACTTCATGGGTTGTGTCTTAACCCCTTGTGCCACCAGGGAGGCCCTAGCTTTTAATTCTGAAAGATCATTAACTTCCTGAATCTATTGACATTTAAAATATTGATAATAGCAACTTCAACAGGAAAAATACTTCTAGTATCTCTTTTAAACCTCTTAAAGTGGGTACATTTTTCAATTAGAAACACTTTTTGTGCCTTTCTCTGAGATGGTGATTTAAAAATTCTAAGGAAACATTTCAAAATGCATACATAGTTCATAAAAAGTTATAGTTAGTAAGAAGTTGAATAATTAACAAATCAATCCTTTGCCTTCTCGCAGATATTAAAGAACATTTTGAAATGAAAAAGACAGAACTCTTTGTTCAATCATGGCATTTGATATACCTTGATGATGAAGTAGCATAATATGCACACACACACACAAACACACTCAAGCAGTCTATACAGGACTACACTAACACCAAGTCAGGGTAGATTGGTCAGCTCCAAATCATCTCCCTTACTGACTTAGGGTTCCAACGGATTTTCTAATTTTGTTTTGGTTTCCCAATGCTACTAGGAAGAAAACGTGGGAAGTCCAGTGTTTGACAGTTCCATCTCTTGGTCAAGTTAATACAGCTTCCAAAGTGTGTGCCAAGGTGCCCCAGAGTCCCAAAACAAGTTTTTGGGAGCAGGATATCTGAGTTTTTAAGGAAAACAGCAACACTGCATGTTTATGAAACCACAGGAGCTCTTATATCTATGTGGTTCATAGATTGCTCTAACATTCCTTTTGATGGTGTCAGATCTTTCCAAAACTGTGTTTGGGCAGTTGCTGTGATAATAGCAGGTTTGGCTCAAAAATCAATGTGGAGTAGGAAATGAGGGGTGGGGACAAGGTCAATTTCAAGGCCAGAGGAAGCGTGTAGTGCCCAAAAGGTACTCACATCACATTGGCAAGTAATAAGTATACTGTTTTTTTTTTTTTTCAGTTTTCATATATGTGTATATATTTATGAACCTCTAAAGGAATAAATTGGTATTCTAGCTTATAATTAAATCTAAAACCACGTACTTGAAACAAATCAATCCCCAAATTTTTATTATCTCTGTTAATAAAGGGTATTCTCAAATATGTCAGGCTCAGGACTACACCTGGAATTCTGGGGTGACCCATATTACCCCAAGGACCAATCTTTTTAGGGCAGATTACTTAATTTTTATCATCACCTGAAGCAGAGCTGGTGCTTTCTCATGGTGCCCTTGACAGTGGGTCTCACCCTCTGTTCTGCTTTTTCATCTCTAAAAAGGATCCAACTCATGTGGTTATTGTGAGGATTGAATGAGCTAAGATGTTAAGTACTTAGAACAACCTGTCTATGTTCTAGAGTTGCTAATATTCTAATAATAGTAATTGCCATTGACATCATCTTGGTTAGCAGAGGCAGCAGCATCCAGTTTTGAACAATTTGATGTTTGGCATCATGATAGATTTGCTCATTTGATATTAACTGCTTGGTCTTAGTATTTATGATTATAAACTGGGCCTTACATGATGCAGAGACTCTTAAAGTAAGTTTGTCAGTACAATTTGGAAGAAATTTAAATTACATCTTTTAACATTCTTAGAGTTTTTTTCTCTGTAAATTTCCACCAGTATATAATCTACCTTATGTAATCTACTTTTTCTTGTGTTCTTCTACATTTTTCTTAGGATGTTAAGAAACGTCCATCTCTCTCTTTAGGTTGTCCTCTACTTTCTTGCTGTCCGAGTGAGTAAAAACCTCTGTATAAAGCACACAAGGCATTTAAGTTCTCACAAGAGGCAGTTACCACTCACCAAGACGTCTCTCCTCCACATGGATTAAATGCTGGGGTTTGGGGGGATTTGGCATTGATTTTTCTCTAGCTGAAATCTCTACTGCATAAATAGTTGATTGGGTTATCTCAGACTGTTCATGGGACTTCTTAAAGGATTCACCCTCTAAATTAAGGGAACTGCATCACCGTGGAAAGAGGGGAGTTAGTGCTCGGCCATGTGGCATCTGGATCATTCCTGTTTTCTTCCAGAATTTAGGAAGTGAATTCTTTCAAAATAATGTGCAATTCACAGGGGTATGGCTGTATTCAGAGACAGTAGGATGAAGCTCACTGGATTCAAGGCATATTTCTCACTTTTCATAGTATTAGAATGAGTATGAGAAACACAGAATCAGGTAGGAACAGGAAATAGCACAGAATGAAAATTCTCTCAATTTGAGAACTCCTTCCCAGGCGTCTTGTTTAATTTCTCCTAACTTGCCTCAACAGACCCTGATGCTTACATTCTGCCCATCCTATTCTTGGCAGTGAAAAGTCTTATAAACACGAACTTTAACTGTAACATATTTATTTATTTGTTTGTTTGTTTGTTTATTTATTTTTAACAAGGTATTTTCTTTTTCTTTTTTTTTTTAAAGATTTATTTATTTATTTATACAAGCACTGGGTACAGTCAGAAGCGCGGGAGGGTGAGAGAATTCACCAGAGCCAGAGTGGGGAGCAGAGCAGGCAGAAGGACCGAAGTACACTGCTGAGGGGAGCAACAGGCGGCAGGAGAGGCCATGCGGGACCCTCCTCCAGTGGCCAGGGAGCAGCCGGGGATCAAACTGGCGCTGCAGAGGCTGCAGGTAGCTTCGCAACCCAGCACTCAACCGCTGCGCCTCCGGGGAGGCCCAATATTTATTATTTTTTTTAAATTGAGGTAGCATTGGTTTACAACACTGCATATGACTGAGAGGTATAGGATCACCCCCTTCAGGATTCTGGATATGTTTTTATGCTTCAATCAGAAAATAATGATTGTTGGGAGGTTTCTTCAAAATGAATTCTAGAAGCTGCTTCTAATAATTTTGTAATATGTCGTGGCTTATTTCAAATATTGTGCAATTTCTCCCAGCACTTTCACCATGTCCACTGTATTTATTATTTTCCATAGTTCTCACCCTAAATCCAATAAGCACACAATTGAAAAAAAAGAACAAAGGAAAGCGGGGTGGGGTGAGGAATAGGAAAGAGGAAGGATGGAAGGAAAGTGGAGGAATCAGTGATATATGGAGGACATGTATTGGAAATTATGTTTATGTTAATATGTTTGTCTCTTCTGCAAATAGAACTTTAAGTGGGTAAGAGGCTATGCCATTTTTGTTTGGGGCTTTTATTTGTTTAGGATGGATCCATCAAAGGGAAGGCAATGTTAATTTTTGATTAATACTTAGAATAAAAGAGACTTCTGAACAGATCTTTGCATGGCCTAACAGCACCACAACCAGTTTGACCCCACGGTTTTAGAAAAAACTTCTTGGTGGCAGAAGTAGTTTGGGAGAGTTTCTGCTAAAAGACCACAAAGCATTATCTTTTATCGATTGGGATTTGCTAGTGGGTACATATAAATGTTTGCTGCTGTAAAGAAATCCGACACCTAAGGGCCCCCAAAGGCCCTTCAAGGCCACTGTCATGCAGTGTCCTCTTTCGGAGACAGCAGGCCTGCTGAGTAAACACACAAGAACTCAAGGAACTCAACATGCAAGCAAATAAAATGACTGTTAATCAGGAGCTTGCAATTCAAGAAGCAATCTCTGGTTGCATGCGTGACTGCAGCAATGTAAATTAGCCTCTGCCTGGGGCCTGCAGAAAATCAGGTCAGAACCAGGAGTCATCATGAGTCTGACCTGAAAGGTGCATAATGAACTTGCCCTTTCCTAGGGAGAAAGCATCTTTTTATTATTTTTCCTCGAGGTATGCTATTTAAAATACCTGGGTTACCCTGGA